ACAGATTTCCAGGACAAAGTTTTTAAAAGTCTCTGAGTGGTCCGCTCTCAGTGCTTTCGTAGCTTCTACCTGAATCACTGTGGTTTGAAGTTTAGTTTCTCTACTGAGTCCTTGTTTTTACTTTAAGATATCTGCTTTATTTTACAGTTTCACTGTCGCTCTCGGCTCTATAGGAGTCGTATTAAGTTACTGCTGATGAAAACCCAACATCTCACTGATTTTGCAGCTTCATAATAAAAGCTTTTAAATAACAAAATAATTGGGCACTTTTATTGTGAATAATTTATTGGAAATTAACTATTTATCAACAAGTTAGCGGACATTCTTCAGTAAAAACAAGTCTGCATACTGGTTGTTTGTGCTTTAGACTGTAACTGCTGTGAAACAATCAGAAAATAATGTTTTATTTATTTGATTCACTGCTTCAATCTGGAGCTCTCTCAACTATTGATGCACTCTGCCTTTAAAGACACACCTTCATGCTGGTAGCCCTGTTATAATGGAGATGCAAATCCCTGCCACGCTGGGCTGATGCGGCGAGTCAAACCGAGTAAAGCCAAGCCAGCACGTGCATATGGAAAATGGCTAATAGTCAATTTGATGATCACAAATATGAAAAATGTTATTGTATCTATTTTAATAAACCATAGAAATGTTAAATATCTGCACGTTTATCAGTAGCCACCAACTAATCACTACTTAACCACTTTGCATGTCTAGAAATTCTCCTTCATAAAGTAACTTCTTTGGCAGACAATATATCTCCTGTTACAGTTGAAACATCCGAGCAAGCACTTTTGTAGATGACCGTTCTTAAATTTTTTGTGAATTAGTTTCCAGGTATTCTGGTAGTGAACAAGTACAGCTTTGCTGACAAATGCAAACTGATGATTGCCAACAGGCAGTCCAGGCAGTCAGCCAGCTCTTAGCAGGTTGTAGTGGTTCTCTAGTGGTTCTGTTACTAATCACGTGGAACCGTCCATTCTTTGGAGCTCTTTTTCTTTTTTACAGAAGTTAATCCCCCCACTCATGAAAAAGAGAGAGCTCGCATTGTAAGGAATGACAGACAAAAAGGAATTCATCTCAGTGAAGTATGTTTTGCGGGGTTTACAGGGACTCTGAAGGATCACTGAGATGGGCTGTTTGAATATTTAATCCGTAATTAGCTCTCAGATGTAGGTTACCCTGGCCCAGTGCTAGCTATTACAGGGTCCCCTGCCATATGTCAGTCAATGCGGGGACCCTTTTGAGAGGCTCAGCTGTTAATTGCTACCCGGAGAGGAGAGACGATGGTGGAGGCGAGACTAAGGTCTGTTCTGGTATCCAGGCAACAGCTCCCTTACTCCTCCCAATGATTCTCAGCGTATTCCCATGCCCCGTCCCTTCATTCACTGCGTCCTTCCTTCCATCCATCCTTCCATCAGCCCCCACCCCACCCAAACCCAGCCAGCCAGCTTACTGCACTAGCCACCACCAGCACTAATGGACAATGCCACGCCATGTAAATGACAGAAAATGATTAATACATCTTTATGGTTTTGTTCTGTGATGCTAAGCAACTAGGAAGCCAATTCTGTTCTGCACTTCTGATAGTAAAATGATGAATTATAGCTGAGTAAGTAATCTAGTTGAAGCTAAATCAGCTGGCGAGACACTGTAATGGTGTGGCTATGTCTAGAAAAAAATAGTCTCTAGTATATTAGAATGTAATAGAAATTAATTTGAAGGATTATTAAGCAGGTTTTGCATGTTTTAGCCCATTTATTACAACTCATTTACAACCAGTGCCAATCATTATCCAAATGTTTTGTTAAGTGCCTTTATCTTAGTCAGAGTCTTGTCACTGTCACCTGTAATGCAGTTCTGAGAACAGACAGATTAAAACTATTCCCTTTTTGTTGCTTCCAAGTGCTTGTGGGAATTTCTAATATCTAACATGTAAAAGTCAGCTGCTGTACAGCACCACACCCACAGACTATAGTCAGAAAATCAAACCAGAACCACAGATGTTTAGAATAATGTGATTTTGGCAGTTTCTTGCATCATAAAAGGTCGCTGTTGGTAGGTTACCCACAAGTCTTGGATGTTGGAGCTTCCTACAATCATTTGAATGCACCAACAAGTAAGTACATAAATCAGTAAAGTTTATTTATAGTACCTATCGTGAGCAAGCATCACAAAGTGAGCGTAAGATCAATTGATATAAGCAGGCCTGTCTGTACAGGAGCATTTTAGTTTAACAAGTTAATATTCTTGACCACCCTTAATGTGCACCACGACAGCAAAACACTTTCAGCTTTATCTTCGAGTTTGGGCTAAAACATGGAAAACACTTGTACGGCCTCTTTAGTCAGCATACCAATGTCACGTAGTAACCGGACAGTGTTTTTTCACTCTACAGTTCCCCGGTGTGAGTCAAAGGGTAACTACATTTTAGTGGCCAATGTAGAGACTAGTGTGCTGTGTAGGGTGAGGCTAGTGGTGTGTTGTCATCAGAAGAGCACTGTATTAGCAAAAACAACAAGGCTTGTGCTTTTGCAACTGCATGGATTTCACAGTCACATCTTGATTCCTTGATTCTCATTTAACATAGTTCAAATTCAGTCCATCTCTCACACACCTTAACAGATTTTCTTTGGCCTGTAGCTGTCGAGTAAACGCACAGTGACATTGACAAAGAGCACTGATGTCTGTTGAAGTTGGAAATCTGGTCAGGTGTGAGAGAAGTGGACGCAAGGAAACAAGCTGAGACTCAAGGTCCAATCTGTGTCATTGATGGGTATTGAAGTCATGTTGGTGTCGTGTGTTTTTGTTCTGTGTCAAATCCCCCCCAGTGTTTTGTGTGCAAGACTGCAGTAGTTGTGATTCAGACCGAGCTCTCCCCGAGCTCAGCATGCCTGTTTCTGGTGCTTTTAGTGAGCGAACTAGCTTCAGCTAACAGACACACTGAACTGGGTTTTGGCCAGGGAGCTAGCACCATAAATATTGTTCGGTTGATTTTGCTCGTGGGCTAACAGTGGATTGAACCAATTTAACACCATTCTGCATCCCATGTTGAATTCTATCAGATGCAAAGTGGCAGCAGATCAGTGATTCCTTTTGAACTTGCAGTTAAGCCAGCAGCATCTACAGTAGTTGCTCTGATGTAATTCTGTAGCTAGTCTGTAAATGTAAATGGTGATGAAACTTTAAATCCTCAATGGCAGAAAACCCCCTGATCTCTGTGGGTTGCCTGTTGCACTGACCACACCCATTGTCAGCAGTGGGATGTATTGCACTTGGGACCGCAACGCAAAACGTAACTACTGTGCAATGTTTTGTCAGTTTTTGCGAGTGTAACTCTCCACCACTACATGTCAACAAAAGCCAAATTTTCAGCTTATGTTTCATCACATTTGAGTCCCCAGGTTGTCAGTCACCTCCTGTGTGTGAACTAGCATGCGTTGCTGCTTTGTGGTTTCATTTTGTACTGGTTGATGCTGGAAATGTTTCAGCGCCATGCAAACTGAACCTGTAGGTTCATTAGCTGTGATGTGTTACTGCGGGGTAGAAACATTACATCTATAGCATAGCTTTGTGTTGTGTAGATTTCATTTTGGTAACTTCATGTTACTTTTTTATGGCTTTTCTAAATGTGTGCTTCCACTTCCTGAACTTAAACTTTAACCACGAGGAACTGAATCCTCAGAACGGTCAAAGGCACTGATCTCTTCTAGGATTGTTCCTCTGTGTTGGCAGCCAACAAACTTTATACATTCACTCTGTTTATGGCACATGCATGAACCACATCTTCCTCACCATTCACTACGACACTACCCATAATGCATGAGCACTGTTGCTTCCTGCTGGATTCAGGGCAGTCAGGCGGATACAGCAACGCCTACAGTGGAATAGATGAGAATTATTGATAGTAGCAGCTCTGCGAGTGTAGAGGAATAATTAAAACATTGCTGAAAATTCAGCTCAGACAGGGCTTTCTCTCTGACCACTTATCTCTCTTTCCTCACTCTGCCATTTCTCTTGAGTCATTTCTCAGTTGACCTATCTATGTGCCCTTTTTCCTTTTTTTCCCCTCTTTCTCTTTCTCCCCAAGTTTTTTTCCTTCCTCTGTGTGTTTCTCTCCTCTCTTTCATTCAGCCCCTCCTTCATTCTCCCCATCCATCACTCTGCCTGTCATGCAGTGGTACTAACCGGTGATGGCTCAGAGAGACAGTTTGAAACTAAAACCATCTCATCACCTGGGACTATCTCAGTGGTTCTCATCCTTTCTGTGTTGTGGATATCATTTTTTTCCCTGTTTGGTCAAAATGAGGCACACTAAATTATTAGATGCCAATCGAGACTTATAGTGATCATAAAGAGGGCCAGCAAATACAATATGTTGAAAAAGTGTAATCACAAGTATTATTTTTATTTGAAATGAACATTTCAGTATCGAGGCCCAGCTCTCCACAACTCAGCAGTTGAGAACCACTGATCAATTCAGGCTCAGTCTTTATTTACAACAGTTAAACCTGGTTTATCCATACATGACAACCACAGACTTCCAAACTTAATTCAGCAAAGTGGAAATCTACCCTGCTGATTGTAAAACATTTTGGAATCTCCTTGTTGACAAGTGCATCTTAATGGCAAATTAGACTGCACCGGTCACTTGCATCAAGTTTGTGTGTGTTTGTTTTCATGTCTTGAATATGCCCCTGGTCTGGAAACTTCACTAAATGTCAGTGGTGTCAGTATTTCATTCACCTGAACCCACCTTCTCATGTCCTGGGCCGGGATAAACCAGTTTTCACTGTTCGCACTAAATGTTTCCCTGGTGATGACCACACATCTAACATGCCTGACCATGAGGAAATAAAATGTGAGATTAATAGAAATAAAATCTGTCTGATATGCTGAAATAAAGATTAAAGAGCCTAGTATTTCAGTAGCAGCAGTATATTTACCATATTTTTCGTTTGGTCTCTCCTCACCTCGTCGTCTTCTCTCCTTTCCAGGCATGTGGTGACCCCAAGGCTAAGCCCTCCTACCTTGTTGATAAGAACTTGGAGTCTGCGGTTAAATTTATTGTCAGGAAGTTCCCCGCTGTGGAGACGCGGAATAATAACGTAAGTCCGCCTGCATGCACGTATGTCTGTGATGTGTTTGTATCGTATAGAGGAAGAGAATGAAAGAGTGTCCGTTTGTCGGTGCGATTGCTTTAGCTACAGGTGTGGAGCTGCACATTCTTGCACAGTCATCACATTTTATTCTGCACACAGCCCAAAAAAGATTGTCGCATTTGAACCTGGGTTCTTCAGCTGCACTAAAATATGTAGGTGTAGCTGAGCAGATCTGTAAACTGTAGAAAAACCTGTTGCACCACAAACATATTATTTTCAGATAGCTATATAGGTCAAGGTTTTCTTTGGGTTTTTTTTTTTTGCTCATTGTCAAAATTTAAATCAGTAAATGTTTGGACAGATTCAAACCAATGTTAACTAACTGAAGAAATCAGCCCTAGCAAACAGACACTTGTGCTGGGCAGTATGACCGAACAGTGGATTCTGGCAGTTTCACACCTTTTATAGAAGTCTACAGTGGTTTATTCTACTGTCAGGAGTCTGTAAAATATAAAAGCATTTTATGTCATATGTTTTTTTCATGTAATCGGGTGTATTGTACAGTATATAAAGGATTCAGAATGTATGAAAAAAGCAGTAGACCCCTGAAGTGACACAACAGCATAACACCACTGACAGATTCTGTTTTCATATTGCTGTTTGTTTTGCCAATTCACTTTTTTTATTTTCATTTGCAGTTTACAGTGTTTGGCCATATATACACACTGTTTGATATCCCTGGATAGTTAGCCATGCAATTACAACAAGACATTGAAATTACTTTACATAGCAAGCAAAAAATCTGTTTGTACAATTGCAGGTGTGTGTGTGTGTGTGTGTGTGTGTGTGTGTGAGAGACCGGGTATGTTGAGTGAACTAAACTAAGTCATTGCTCATCAAATGTGTCTTTCAGCTTTACATGTTAGCTTAGCTTTTAGCTTCTGGCCTATGTGTTTATGTGAAACTGTGATGAAGCTGTGAAGGTGAGCAAACAGCACTGTGTGTGTGTGTGTGTGCGCGGGTGTGTGCGCGGGCGTGTGTGCGTGTCTAGCTAACTGCTTTATTCAGTATAACTGTGCAAAAAATGTCTCTTACGTTGTTTTCTGCTTTGTTTCTGTGTTTGTTTGTGTTTTGCATGCTAAACTTGGCTTATTCCGGACTTGTGCTTTTTGGTAAGTTTTTGTATCTAAGTTTCTGTAACTTTTGTATTTTAGTTCACGTACCTAAGTTTTGTAATAATGTAATTTTTTTGTACCTGTTTTTAAGCTGTTTTTGGAGTGTGTTTTGCTTTGCTCTGCTTTCTCTCCTCTCTCCTCTCTGCTGGCAACATTTTTACTTTCTATCCGTCATCCACCGAGTGACTGTGTGGTTGGTCTAACTACCTGGTTTGCAGGCTGTTTGACTGCTAGTTGGTTAGCAGGCTGTTTGAGCGACAGGCTGACTGTCTGCACTACGGAGTATTATGGAGCACATATTCTGATTTGACTGTATGTTTTGCAGTTTTTTGTTAGTCAGCCAGTGTCTTAACCGGTCTGAGGTCCTTATGTCTTCCTCTTTCAATGTAGGGTAATTTGTCATTCAAAATGTGAGAGAAAGGGCAGCTTAAAAAAAAAAAAAATACATTAAAAGAAGAAGAAGAAAATCATTCCAAATTCTCTTATCGCTTGACTTTGGGTTGAGTAACAGAGGTTTAAACTCCTTGGTGCAGCAGCAGTGTCACACACTCTTCACACTCTTACACTTTTCCTCTTTATCTCGTACGGCTGCACCAGTTCTGACCTAAAACACACAGCTTTAGGGCTGGGTTAAATTTACATCAGTCATTTCTGACATGTAAATGGAAGCTGCTTCTTACTAGATAAATATAGAGCTTCACATATTTCAGTTTGTTAAAAGATTGATGTGACAATCTTTTCAACCTGAGCTTAATTTTAAATTTGGGTTTGAAAACACATTGCATCCACAGCTTTACCTTTCCAGACATCAACAGGTACAGAAAAGGGTTTTGTCCTTTGATGCTTCACTTGTTGAATTTCCATCTCACTCCTGTCTGTAAACTTCTAGAAAACGTAATCAAGAAGCTACAGGGTGGACCGCTTGGCATTGCATTGTCAGATTTTACTTTGGTCAAACATTTTCACTCGGTTGTACGTTCTTTGCAGCTGGGACGTCAAACAAAGTCTGTGCGCACTAGACTTATATTCCCTTTCTCTTTCCAAACATAAATAACTTGTTAATAAAAGTTGGGGGGAAATTACTTTCAAATTAAGCAAGTTTAAAATAAATAAATCTTAATTAACAATACATTGTCCCACGTGGTCAATATTTATAAGTGAGCATACAGGAGGTATGTCAATTGTCCCAACAAATACTCATGAATAATGAATCAAATGTTCTACCAAAGTAAAATTACTTAGCAGGGTCTTTCTCAATGTATGCTTGTATCTAGTTATTAGTATTTCTCTCTCTTTGTATTAACTGAAAGAAAAGCTAGAGTTTTTCAATATCACTGAATTATTGAGCAACAGTATCTCATTTATATCAGTTTGCTGATAATTGAGTCAAAATAAAGAGAAACTGATACTGAAACAAGATACAATAAACTGTATTGATCCTTCAAGATAAACTTAGTAATTGGATTTTTTTAAGACAGATGGGTTACAACAACAGATGCAGATATTTCTCGCTCTGGTTTTAAAAAAAATGGAAAACAATTATTTCCATAATTGGATTAAACCCTGTCACAGTTTATCTGAGTTTTTTTCACAAGCCTCATCATCTGTTGTAGCAGCAGCTGGATAGTTGAATATTTAGTTAATACTAATATAACATCTGCATAAAGTATTTCTGCTGCACAGATTTAAACCACAGTCAGTATGCTTGTAATTAGAGTGATATGTGCGCTCAGCCTTTAAGCGGTGGAACTCACAGAGAAACACATTTTAAGGTACATAAAGCATACCCAAAGGAGAGATACAGTAAGTGATTATAAATTGTCTTTATTACAACAGTCAGAGTAAACAGGTTTTACTGCTATATATGTCATATATGCAGTTAATTGCAGATTATTTCATAACGTTTTTGTAACTGTGTGCACTGTGCCGTGTTTACAGCAACAGCTGGCTCAGCTGCAGAAGGAAAAGTCGGAGATTCTGAAGAACCTGGCTCTCTACTATTTTACCTTTGTAGATGTCATGGAATTCAAGGTAGGAAAATACACACACACATCATAATATATAATATAATGTGAAAGATTTTATGTTTGTGAATCTAATGAGGGTATTTATATCGACAGGACCATGTCTGCGAGCTGCTGAACACTATCGACGTATGCCAGGTCTTCTTTGATATTGTAAGTGCAATTAAATACAAGCATTGACATTATACATGATTAAACATCAGTAAATCTGTTTATAGACTTTTTTTGGTTGCTGTTCTGTAAGAATACCTTGTCACCTGTCATATCAAGTAAAAAGGTTTGTCAAGAGTGAAACAAAAACTTCACAGAACAAAAGAACAAAAATGTAATATACAGTACATATGGAAATAAAGTTGAAAAATGTTGTTGTTACCATAAAGGTCTTAGAGAAATGCTTCATATTCCCTTCTTGCATATTCTTCTCCTCTTCTTGCCCAACATGCTGCTGTCTTGAAGAATCCTGCTGACCTTTTCTTTTCAGCTCTCATCTCTTCTTTACCCAGAACATCCTGTCAGACTTGATCATTATAGAGCGAAAGCAATATTTACACATGTTGTCATGTTTGCAGTGCTTATTAAACTGTCGCCCTCATTGTGATTTCTCCGCTAAAATATAGTTCAGGTGAATATCATTTTAGCATTAAGAAAAATGCCCCTTTTTTCTTGTTGTTTTCTGTCAGACGGTGAACTTTGACCTGACCAAGAACTACCTGGACCTGGTGGTGACTTACACTACTCTGATGACAATACTGTCTCGCATAGAGGAGAGGAAAGCCATCATAGGACTGTACAACTACGCCCACGAGATGACGCATGGAGCCAGGTGGCTGGAACACACACCTACTTCATACACACACAAACACACTCTTAAAGTATTCTCTGTTAATAACTACAAACATACAGACACAACCAATAAATTGTCTGAACCATCAATGTGCCAACAGTCTCTGTAATAACGGTTGTGCTGTGTGTGTCGTAGTGACCGGGAGTACCCCAGGTTGGGCCAGATGATCGTGGATTACGAGAACCCTTTGAAGAAGATGATGGAAGAGTTTGTTCCACACGGAAAGGTGAGGTGTTAATATTCAGTAGTGTGCCAACTTTTTCAAATGCATTTTCTTCTGTAAACACTGGCTCTCATTTAAATGGCGGCATGTAAACTTCAAAGGGGTTTTTTAGTATGATTGTCAATGTGTTCAATAGATTTGATCTTGTCTCTATGAAGGCACAGTTGCCATAGTGTCTCCAGTGCCACTTTTAGATCAGTCAGTCAGAGTGGCAGCTCTGCTCTGCAACCGGGAGCTGAAATATCGACTCGAAGGGAGAATAAAGTGAAATCTTCAACAGAACATCTCCACACCTCCGCTACAGTTATTTATGCGCAGACTGATGCAATACAGTGATACATGGTTATCAACTAGAGTGCCAGAAAGCTCACTGTACACTGGTGGTTACAATAATTTGTCTTAAAAAAAACAATTTAATATTCAGTTTATTCCTCTCCTCGGCTCTCCCTTCTTTTTCTTCTTCCCCTCTTGTCCTTCCCCCTGTTTCTCTCTTCATCTCGTCTTTCTTCCCTTTCTCTTCCTGCCTTTCTCCTCTCCTCCAGTCCCTGTCAGATGCTTTGATCAGTCTTCACATGGTCTATCCCAGGAGGAATCTGTCCGCTGACCAGTGGAGGAACGCCCAGCTGCTCTCTCTCATCTCTGCTCCCTCCACCATGCTCAACCCTGCACAGTCAGACACTGTTAGTATGAACACGACTGCACATGAAACAGTTAGAATTAAATCTGTGATCGCGATTTCTAATCATAGTGCCTGATCTAAGGTGTAAAACGGAATTACTTTTGCTTGTCTCTGTCTTTAGATGCCATGTGAATACCTGTCACTGGATACAATGGAGAAGTGGATTGTTTGTAAGTACTGTAGACACAGGGATTCAGACCGTCTAGGTTCATGTCAGGGCCTGTTTATTTAGTTATATATTCCTCTTTGTTCTCTCTCCAGTTGGTTTTATCCTGTGTCATGCGGTGCTGAACAGCGACGCAGCAGCGTTAACTTTGTGGAAGCTGGCTCTGCAGAGCTCCACCTGCCTCTGTCTGTTCAGGGACGAAGTCTTCCACATTCACAAGGCTGCAGAGGATCTGTTTGTGAACATCAGAGGGTAAGAGCATCTATATGTGAGGATGCACATGTGCAGACAAACTTTTTAATCGTTTAGCCCTTTTGTTTTACACAAAAATCCCCAAATCTCTCGGTTATAGCTTTTGAAATGTGATGTTTTGCTGATTTACTCAGTTTCATGTCTTTGTCATTTGAATATCTTTTGGGTTTGGGGCTGTTGGCTGGACAAAACAAGACATTTGAAGACGAAACTTGTCATTGAACTATATTCTATAGCAGACAAACATCACAGATATGCATACTTTATAAGATACAGTTGCTCACTATGTTTCTGCGTCCATTCTGCTTTTGTGTTTTGCAGGTACAACAAACGCATTAATGACATCAGAGAGTGCAAGGAACAAGCTCTGTCTCATGCGTATGTACATATCTTTTTACTAATCATTCATTCATTTTGTTCCCCACACACACATATTTCAAATTTTATGGTTTATTTCACTGCCCACATTTTGGTGTTCTGTTCTTTTCCCTGCTCCTCCATCAGTTTAGCTCTCCCTCTAGCTTATGCTCTCTCTCTCAGGGAGTCTCACACAGAAACTTCACCTTCATCTTATCTTTATCCTCTGTTGTTCCTGTTGTGTCCTCCCCTCTTTGTCTCCCCCGCTGTCTCATCTCTGCTTTTATCCTCATTACTTATTCCATCTTCTCCTTTCATCTTCATTCTTCTGCCAGCACTGTCTTCAACTTACCTTTGTCCTCTTGCAGGATTGTCCTGAAACTGTCAAAATACTATTTAATCATGATGCTTGTATGTTTTGATGCTCTGCCCTGACTTCCTGCCCGCCTGTCTCTACAGAGGCTCGATGCACAGAGAGAGACGCAAGTTTCTCCGATCAGCTCTGAAGGAGTTGGCTACTGTCTTAGCTGATCAGCCTGGACTCCTAGGCCCTAAGGTAATACTCATTACCATTAATTAATGAACACCTCTAGATTCATTAACAACTACATTCAGTTTTAGAGGAGTTAGATGAGCAGTTCTCAATAACCAACCTGGAAAAGTACTTATTACTTATTTGCTCAAGGGAAGATCACCTTAATTAGTGGGTTAGGGATTAGTTTAGTGATTTTAAATATCAAATATATATAAAATAACAGTAATCACTGAGACCTAAAATAATATGTACTAGTTTCATTTCATCCATTTTCTTTCCATTAATCAAGTCAAGTCTTGTTGAAAGTTAAATGCCACCTGAAAACATAACACATTTGAACTTAAATGTCCCTATATTATAACTCTTCTGTGGGAGTGAGAGCCTGTGTGGACTGTTGGAACCTAATGTAATGTACAGTTTCACCTTAAAACAATAAATAATGGTACATAACACTCTCAGCTTATTGGAAGAGACAGTTTTACCACCTTAAAAAGCCCTGCAAGTTCCTCTGGCCAGATGGAGACCCGCATAAATGTATAACAGAATATATTTGCTAAGCCTGAATGACTCTGTAAACACATTTGGTTCAGAAGCAGAGAATGTGGTTGCTCCAGCTGCTCTTGGTGATTTATCTGTTTAGCTAATTTATACATTTCTGTTTCCCTACTTTAAAACCGTGTCTCACACTGCTTCCCTCTGTATTTCTCTATCCCTTGCTCTTTCTGTCCTGCTAGGCATTATTTGTGTTCATGGCGTTGTCATTTGCCCGTGATGAGATTATCTGGCTGCTTCGACACGCAGACAACATCCAGAAGAAAAGCACAGATGACTTCATAGACAAGTACGTGAACATACACACCTGCACCAACATACACCTTTATACACACAGTAACACAATTATTGCCCCCTTTGCTTATTGTCTATGTGGCTGCTTGTGTTGCTTTAGTTAAAGGTTTATTGACGTGTGTGTGTCTGTGTGTGTTTTGCAGACATATAGCAGAGCTGATCTTCTACATGGAGGAGCTCCGAGCTCACGTCAGGAAGTACGGCCCTGTGATGCAGCGATACTATGTCCAGTACCTGTCCGGTTTTGATGCTGTGGTGCTGAATGAACTGGTGCAGGTATGAACACACACAGACCTCCTAAAGTGTACACACCTAATATACACACACACCTACGCAGAATGTAAACAGGATGCAGGGTTCTACAATTTTGAAACCTATATGACACATTGAGACTGAAAATTGGCAGTGGCAAAACTCTCTAATTTAAGGACGGTCATCTTGGGTAACATTTCTGATTTCAGATTGAAATAAACATAGATTACATTTTGGGCCTTGATTGAAAGATGGCTTTTAGAATGTACATTTTTCCACCCTACACTTGTCGTTTTAACCACTTTTCTATCTTGTCTTTATCTGATAGAACCTCTCTGTGTGTCCAGAGGACGAGTCTATAATCATGTCTTCATTTGTCAACACTATGACCTCTCTCAGTGTCAAACAAGGTAAATCATTACCTCTTTTACTGTACTTTCAAAAAGGAAGAGTAGGATTGATATCAGGAGCAGTAGGAATGTTACAGTAGTACTATAGTGACAGCTGCAGTAATTTAACCATTATAATACACATTACAATACTAATAAAACAGATGCAGTAACTGGCTGTGTATTTGTTGCCAGAAGCCTGTTTGGTCTTAAGTCAGGAACCAAATTTTTAGTGATAATGTGTGGTTTTGAGTGAATTGTTGTGCTTTTGTCTTCCAGTGGAGGATGGAGAGGTGTTTGACTTCAGAGGCATGAGACTGGACTGGTTCAGACTGCAGGTTTGCACAAACACTTCTCCAACAAATACTTACAATATTACGTCTTTGTGGAATGGAGTGTAAATGCAAACGTATCTCCTTTTTTAAATTTAAATGTGGATTAGAACGATCTCTTCCTCATACTGTTCCTGACTGTTCTCCGTTCTGTAGGCCTACACCAGTGTCTCTAAAGCCAGTCTTGGTATAGCTGATCACAAGGAGCTCGGTAAAATGATGAACACCATCATCTTCCACACAAAAATGGTGGACTCTCTGGTGGAGATGCTGGTGGAGACATCAGACCTGTCTATTTTCTGGTGAGACACACACACACACATATTAACATGCACAGTAACCCTTGCATTCAAATGCAAATAAGGCTCATATGAAGAAAGAACTGCGACAATTAAACTGGTCTTTTACTTTATTATATTTGACATGAAGTAAAGTTTTCTGTGTGTG